TAAATAATGTGATTATTTAATTTTGAATTTGAACACATCTAGATTTATCCATTTAAACTTATTTGATAAGTTGTTCAATTTAGAATTCAAATTAATTTAAGTTTGACTTAAATTCGAATTTGAATTTGAAATAAAATTGGACTACAGGATAAAGGATGATTTTCTCTTCCTTCCCTATCCAGTATTGGTGCCACACACAGGGATAGGAATCCCTAGCATGGCCGGCCACAAGGGATAAGGGATAGAGGAGAATTTTGGTTCGAAATTCAAATTGGAGATAGAGATTGGATTCTTTCTAGAAGTTTGACTTCTACTTTATAAATACTATTTTTGAGACAATTTTCGGAATGATTTTTTGCCCTAATTTTAGAGGTAGCCGAAATTTCTCTATAGAAATTTTGGAAACAATTTTTCAGCCCTAAGAGTTAAGGCTGGCCGAAATTCTCAAGATAGAAAGGAAAGAAAAAATTTTTCTCTAAAAATTCCACATCGTGCATGTGATGGTGTTTGTGGAAATTCGAGTGTTTATTGTAACCCGTTTTGTCTCATGTGTGCCCACACACACGTCTTCGTAGATTCTAGAAATTGACGTGGAAGACATTGGTTTTCTAAACACAAAGATTGGAGCAAGGACTGTTCGTGGTCAAAAAACTCAAGTTATCATCCGAGTCGGCTTCCAGGTATTTTTCCTGATTGAGTTCTTGATATATATATATAAGTTAATGAGATTAATTTATTCGTGTATAAATTAATATAATCTATAGAGTATCTCAAAAGTTTTATGAAAATTTTTGTTATATACGATCCGCCTCTTCCCCGCACCACCACGCTTCCGCAGCCGGATTCGATTCGGCAACCAACACATTTGGGGACCTAGAGTGAATGGATTAGCTTCTTTAATCCATGTTTTGAGATTAAAAACCCTTGGAATGATGATTTGAAACATGAAATTGTTTGTGAAACTGGTAATTGAATTATGGCACACTAATAGGAAATTGAAGTGTATAATTGGTATTAAAATCGCTTTAGGAATGTGAATTGGATCCTAAAGCGTGGTTTTGTATTAGTGCTAGCTGAGGACTCAGATTGAGGGGCTTTGAGGAAGCGAAAGCTGGAATAGTGTAACGCTAGCCAGGTTTGATATTTGTGAGGTAGAATTTCTTACCCTCTCTTTTGTGAGCATATTTTCAAAAGAATTTTAGCTTTGTAAATGTTTTAAAGAAAGGGCATGTTTGCAAAAGAAAAACATTTTAACCCCGATGGCTGGTTGTAGTTCTGGAGAGTATAATGAACTGTTTCATAAAGTTTAATGAATGATTTTTTAAGATAAGAGATCTTGCAAATCGGTAAACTGGCTGATGGCCTAGATAGGATGTGAAAAGTGCGTCCTTGGGGGCAGGACCCGAAACCCAGCCCGGGGTGATATGGCTTGTGCATGTGGTTGTGTCAGTAATTTATCATAGTATAAATTACTTGTTGATGCCTGTAATACGGAGATTTTCAGTTATATTTCCTTTGAGAAAAAGGATGTGAGGTTCCGGCTGTTGTGATGGAACTGAATGTCTATATTTATTCATTTAATTATTTATTTATTTACTTGTTTACTCATTTATTTACTTATTTACAAAGTTATTACAAAATATATCCTACTGGGCCTTTCACTCACGTTTTATATGTTTTATAAATATTAAACCCCTCCCAGGCGACTCGAGGAGTAGTGCGGAGTAGCTGAGTGAGTTACTACCACCGGATTTGGTGACGATTGTGATCATCCTCCCTGTGTACGAATGTAAGAATTCTAAATTCTGTAAACTCTGAATATTTGGATTTCTAGACTGTGGTTGATGTCTGTAATGTTATTTACATGTTCATGTATGTACAATACTGCATATCCTATGGGTGAAGCCCTGAACGGTGTGAGAGGCTTAGTTATAAACCTCTTGTAGTCAGTAATTTATTTTCAGTGAAATATGGGGCTCGTTTGGGAATTTCCTTAATTTTTTATTCATAATCGCGTTTAACCCCTAATCGAGCCTCCACGTTACCGACCCCGGCTTTGGGGCGTGACACTTGTGCTTGTGCTTGTGTAAGTAATTTATCATAGGATAAATTACTTGCTGATGCCTATAATACAGAATTTTCAGTTTATATTCCTTTTAGAAAAAGGATGTGAGGTTCCGGCTATTGTGTTGGAACTAAACGTCTATATTTATTTATTTATCTATTTACTTGTTTATAAAGTCATTTTAAATTACAACATACTGGGTCTTTCGCTCACGTTTTATTTGCTTTATAAATATTAAACCCTTCCCAGGCGACACGAGGAGTAGTGCAGAATAGACGAGTTAGTTGCTACCATCTGATTAGAAAAGGATTGTGTTCATCCTCCCTGTGTACAAATGTAAGGATTGTAAACTCTGTAAACTCTAAACTTTGGATTACTAGACTGTGATTTATGTCTGTAATGTTATTTATATGTTCATGTATGTACCATACTACATATCTTGTGGGTGAAGCCCTGAACGATATTAGAGGCTCAAGTTTTAACCTCTTGTAATCAGAAAGTGCGGGTGACCTCGTAACTTTCTTGTAATTTATTTTCAGCTAAATGTGGGGCTCGTTTGGAAATTTCTTTAATATTTTCCCTTTTGATTTTGATTATTATGTTTCTCAATGTTTAATTACTCTCCTAATCGCATTTAACTTCTAAACGAGCCTCCATGTTACTAACTCCAGCTCAGGGTGTGACAGATTACATCTCTAATAACTAAATAAATGAAAAAATTACATCAAAAGCTATTATCTTTACATTTATGTCACCCAATAATATAAATATAACATTTTTATTGTTCGATTGACCAGAAAACTATCCCATTAAATTATTTTTTTTCCCAACAAAGATGATCCGACATCTCCCATCTGTTCTTTGGAGATTTTTCTAATAGACTATCAATTTTTTTAATCAAAAAATATAGTGATAGACTAGATGACATAAATATAAAGTTATTAATTAGTCGCATACTAAATAATCGGAGAAAAAAGACAAATATCTCTTAAAGCGTATATGTCTAAATTTATACTCCTTTATTTTTTATTAATAACCCTTTTTAATCAAATAATTACATTAATTAGAGGGTATTAATTCAAAATAACGTGTAAAATTTCACTCATTTACTCTAAGATAAGTTGGGCAATTTTCTTCTAAATAAATTTTCTCTAAATATTATTATAATATTATTAATTCAAAATCAGATTCACACACATATTTGGGTAGACAATTGCGGGTCTAAGCCAAGTTTGGGCCTTGCATTAGTGGGCTCTTAGTGGCCCTCTCCACAGTTTTTTATCACAAATAGTAATCAAGTGCAACCGTTACCACGAATTGCACACTCTTTTCTCTCATCACAAACCACAAACCCGTCAGAGAAAGTCCGATAAAGTCGTTGGTATTGAATATCAGCGGCCAATATTATCCGATTATGGTGAAATGAGACAAGAAAAAAAATGAACCAGATTCTCGAGGTGACTCCAAGGAAGAAGAAAACGACAGTCTTTTTGTCTGTCTCGAGTAATCCAACCTGGAATCCGATTCTCAACAGGCCATGAGTACCACACAATCAAAGATCAGAATTTTCTCGTCTCGATCCGGCGATTGGATCACGTTAATCCCCCATCTTTTGTGATTTTCGTAATTTTTGTGCTGAAAATCTTTGGAATTTTGAGGTCCAAAGATGGATAAGTCTATGGCAAACTGAAAAAGTCTCCAAAAAAAGAAAGGGAAGAAATTTTGGTCTCAGGAACTTGGTTTCCGAACTGGGTTTCCCTTAAACATGGTTGTGAAGCTGTGTTGTTTGATGGCTTCTAGTGGCTACCATCCTGGAGTAGTTTTGCCCCAACAAGATCAGGCCATCAACAAGGCCATCCAGGTAAAAGAAAAAAAATTTTCAATTGGGTTTGCTTTGTTCTTCAAAATCATGGGAATTTATTGGGAGTAATAATAAAATATGTGTGGGTTTTGTGATTTAAGCTTTTCGTTGTGTTGGTTTATTGTTCAATTATTATGGTTTTTTTCTATGTATATGGTTTCTAAATTCTAATTCAATAGGCTTGTCAAAGGGGTACTATATTTGAGAAAATCATGAAACATAAACTCACTATTCAAGTGGATACAATAAAAATTTATTTGGGTTGTTATTGTCAAAATGTCTCTTTTAGATGCTTGCAATTTTATCTTTTTTTTATGCTGTTTATCGTCTGAATCGTGTTTCAGTTAGTAATTATCATCCTATGTATGTGGTTTCTAATTCAATTATAGTTTCATTAGGTGAATTTTCAGGCTTGTCAAAGGTGTGTTATCTATTCTTAACATGTTTCCTTAGCAATTTAATGCAACTGAAATGCAACTGAACCTGTCCCATCCTTGATTAGTTCCACTCTTTCAGTAGTGAATTATTGATTTACTCCATTTAATTGACCCAGGATTGTCATCCTATTTTTCCGTGTTATGGAGCAAGACATGAGATTATGAGAATAGGATCTCTTAATTTGAGGGCTTATGAGGGTGAGGAGGCATGGAAACCCATAAGTGGGTTGTCTAATCCAAGCCAGTTTGTCAAGATTGAATCAGCAGTTAAAAGCCCTCTGCTCACTGATGTTCAAGGTAATGCAAATCTTTGGTCATGTTTGTTTCGTGGGTTTGAACCACGGTTCAATTCTTTTACGACAGTGTTTTTTCTCACAAAAATTTGAATTTGGTTCAAACTTTCTGGTCTGAATGTCATGATGTTTCAATGTAATACAAGATCCATCTTTTTTTTTTCTCATTTCCCTCACTCTCCTTTTAGTATATATATGTTATCTTTATTGTGATTGGTTGTGGTGTGTAAAAATAATTCTTAATTAGAAGTCTCGGTATTGCTGCTATGCTAGTTCTATATAATCATGCACTTCATAAAGCCTACATAATGATGTATTGGTGCATCCAAACCAATCCAAAACAGACTAGAATGCGATATGTGTATCTGTTACTTCCTCAACCTTATATGATTAGATGGTTTGGGTTCTTTGAGGTGTAGGCATAATTTGTATTCCTTTTAACAGCGCGCGTTTATATGTGATCTGTTACGGAACAAGCATGTAAGAAAGTAATAAGATGAATATGATGTTAATGATAGATTCTAGGGTTTCTTCCACACAACAAGAAAAAGAAAAGACAAAATGGAATCAAGAATCAGGAACTCTTATTGAATTATAGTCAAATGTACATAACCGCAGTGCTTTGAGGGACTGCAACCTCCCAGTTGGCTCAATTGCCAGCTCCTCTCCAATTCTCTCTCTTGATCACCCCCTGTACCCCCTCTTCCCCTCCACATTCCCTCCTAATCTGTTGTAACTAACTCTCAGCCCCCTCAACCCTTCCCTTCTAACTTCCTCTAATCTGTTACAAGCCTAATCCATTACAAGCAACTCCATTTACACCCGTTTCCCCATCCTAACGAAAACCCGTCTGACTAGAGGCTTGGTCTTATCAATTACTCTGCCCCCCAAAAGAGTCACCTTGTCCTCAAGGTGAAAATCCGGAAACTGTTGTTGTATGACATCAAACAACTCCCAAGAGGCCTCAAAATCAGGCAAATCCTTCCACTTGATCAGCACTTCCAATTGGTCGGAGTCAGGAGCAAAACAAGTATTCAAGAGCTATGCTGGTTCGACACGTAACTCGGAGTCCTCAGAAAGGAGATAAGGGAGAGCTCCTGGGAAATATCGGACACTCCAATAGCTTGCTTAAGTTGTGAAACATGAAAAACCGGATGAATCTTGGCAGAAACCGGTAACTGTAAACAATACGCCACCGGAGCTATACAAGTTGCAGGGCACTTCCTTGCACCGTAGTACCGAGGAGATAATTTCTCGTTGATAAACCTGGCCAAAGAACGATGACGATACGGCTGTAGCTTCAGAAAAACCAAGTCGCCCACCTGAAAGTGGACGTCCCTATGTTTGAGATCTGCCCTCATTTTCATACTATGCTGAGCCTGCAGCAAATGGCCCTTCAACTCATCCAAGAGAGCGTCCCGAGACTGAAGTTGCTGCTCCAACAACGAATTGGCAGCCGAGCCACTCTCAAATCGAAACAACTTAGGAGGGTCACGACCATAAAGGGCTCGGAAAGGAGTCATTCCTGCCGCGACATGGTAACTTGTATTGTACCAATATTCTGCCCAAGGAATATGGGAGGACCACTGGGCGGGTTGAGTCGATACGAAACAACGTAGGTAAGCCTCCAAACATCGATTCACCACCTCGGACTGGCCATCCGTTTAAGGGTGATAAGCAGTACTACGGTGCAAGGAAGTGCCCTGCAACTTGAATAGCTCAGTCCAGAAGTGGCTAAGGAAGACTTTGTCCCGATCCGAAATGATGGTGCAAGGAAACCCATGGAGGCGTACGACCTCCTTCACAAATAAGGCAGCCACAGATTTGGCTGAGAATGGGTGGCGCAGTCCGAGAAAATGAGCATACTTAATCGATCAACCACCACTAATGTTGTGTCAAGACCCCCGGATTTGGGCAATCCCTCCACGAAGTCTAGCATAATATCCTCCCAAACCTGAGTCGGAAGAGGAAGTGGCTGGAGCAAACCAGCCGGAGAAAGAGTAGAAGCCTTATGTTGCTGACAAATGAGACAAGCGGCCACGAATGACATGACATCCTGTTTCATTCCCAACCAAAAGAACTCCGAAGCCAGCCGTTTTTAAGTTTTTAAAACCCCTGCATGGCCTCCCACCTTACTGCCATGGAACTCCTTCAGCAAGACCGGAATGAGAGAAGATTTTTTTGGAATCACCCCCTGATTCTTGTAGAGCAATAAATCATTCACCAGGGTATATCCCTTCACCGCTGTAGGGTCGACTAACAACTGAGCCTTGAATTCAGCCAACTTCGGATCCAGAAGCACCTGTTGGCGAATGGTGTCCCAATCAAAAGCTGCCGTGGAACTCAGCCACATGAGTTCCAAATTTGAGGGCTTCCAAGACAAAGCATCAGCCACTCGATTCTCTAAACCCGGCTTATATTGTATCTCAAAATCATACCCCAGTAACTTGCACAACCAATGTTGATGCTCCCCACTCACTAATCTCTGGTCTAGTAGGAACTTTAGACTTTGCTGGTCCGTTTGCACAATAAAGTGTCGACCAAGTAGATAGTGACGCCATTTCTGAATAGCAAGAACTACCGCCATCAATTCCCGCTCATAAACGGACTTTGCGCGAGCCCTGGCCGACAATACCTGGCTGAAATAGGCAATTGGTTGTTGTTGCTGCATTAAAACGGCTCCAATTCCGAATCCAGAGCACAAATGGCATAGAGAAATCTGGTAAAGCGAGAACAGGCACTGTTGTCATGGTTGTTTTCAAGCTTCAGAAAGCTTCTTCGGCCAATGGATTCCAATTGAAACTGTCTTTTTTCAACTGTTGGGTTAATGGCCAAGCTATATGTCCATAACCAGCCACAAACCTTCTATAATACCCCGTGAGACCCAAGAAGCCTCGCAGCTCCTTAATAGAACGAGGAGTCAGCCAATCCAACATCGCAGAAATCTTGGAAGGGTCGGCCGACACCCTCTCACCTGATATGTCCAAGATATTCTAATTGACTTTGAGCAAACATACACTTTTTTTTATTAACATACAACTGTTGCTCCTCTAACGTTGCCAACACCAAATCCAAGTGTGTCAAATGTTCATCAAAAGAGGTGCTATAGATCAAAATGTCATCGAAAAATACCAATACAAATTTCCTCAAGAAGGGTTTTAATACCTCATTCTTCAATGCTTGAAAAGTGGCAGGGGCATTGGTAAGACCAAACGGCTTCACCAAAAATTCAGTGGCCCTCATGGGTATGAAATGCGGTCTTCGGAACATCCCCGTCATCCATCCTGATTTGGTGGTAACCAGCCTTTAAATCCAATTTGGTAAAAACAGTTGCCCCACCCAATTCATCCAAAAGCTCCTCAATTACCGGTATGGGAAATTTGTCAGGCACCGTAACCTTGTTGAGCGCTCGATAGTCAACACAAAAGCGCCAACTTCCATCTTTTTTTCTTGACTAAGAGCACGGGACTAGAGAAAGGGCTTGTACTTGGTTGGATTATTCCGGCTGCGAGCATCTCCTTTACCAACTTCTCTATCTCGTTCTTTTAGAAATGAGGATATTTATAAGGTCGAACGCTAATGGGGCCTGTTCCTCCTGGAAGTATGATGCGGTGGTTGTGCGAACGCCGAGGAGGTAAACCACCCGGCATATGTAAGACCTTGGAGTGCTGCTGCAATAGGTGTTGCACCGGTTCCTGAAGTGGGCTTCCTGTGTCGGAATCAACCCGTAATGTGCTCAACTCCAAGTAGAATCCATGTCCCTCTTGTTTTATAGAGCGGAACATCGCCTTGAGAGAAACCATGGTCTTAGAAAGACTCATATCTCCTTTTAAAATCACACCTTCGCCTCCTACTCTAAATTTCATAACATGCGTCTTCCATCCCTCTGAAAGTTTCCAACCACTGCATGCCCAAAATCACATCTACCCCCCCCCCCCCCCCCCCCCCTCTCTCTCAACAATTGTCAAATTCGGTAGAGTCAAAACTACTTCCCTACAAAGTCCTTTTCCTCGAACTGATTCCCCTGTCCCCACTTGTACACCAATAACAGGAATAGCTAACTTTCTCACTGTTTCCAAAGAAATGAAATTATGCGACGCACCAGAATCAATCAAAACAATTACCTCTTGTCGGGCGATGATACCACGAAGCTTCATGGTCTTTGGAGTCAATAACCCCACCACTGAATTCAAGGAAAGCTCGATAACCTCCTGTTGTACTCCCTCTAAAGACTCCCACGGTTGTGCTTTGTCCAGCTCTTCACACTCGGACTCATCCTCATCACTAACCAACATGATCCGTAATTCTTTCTTCTTACACCGGTGTCCCATGGTGAACTTCTCATCACAGCGAAAGCATAAACCTTTCTCCCTTTTTCTCTTGCCATTCGGAATCCGATAGTTTCCGAAAAGGAAAATCTTTCTTTTGAGGCACAGCATTTAAGCAGAGTGGCCGTTCTGCCC